AAGGAAAACGACATGCTAAACAATATTGTCGTTCATAAAATATGGTATAATGGTGGCATGTTGACCTTTAATTATTTGTTGTGGGGGTTTTCCTGTAGGCCCAGACTATACGACCCGTGTATAATATTGATGGAGAGCAAGCCCAATAATCCTCAAAAAGACCATCACATCCCCTTTACTACGAACGACATATTGACAATTGATCAATGCAAATACCTTTTTTTTTTCCCCTCTCTTTTGGACAATCCTTGCCCCTAGCAATCTACCCTCATTTAGGTACTGTTAACCCTTGAACATAGATATAGGAAAGTCAGTCATTTAGATTTGACATGCTTACCAAGCATAGCCAGAAATCCAATTTCCCCATTTCCTATCTCAGTAACGTCATATCCAAGTCCATCTCTGGATACTATTCCCAATTCCCATTATTTTTGTGACATCCAATATAGATATTAAAGTATACTCCTAACCTATTTATCTTAACCACTTCAATTTATTCTTATGACAATTTCTACTTTAATAGTTTGCTCTTACTCATTTAATTGTTCATTATTTTATTCAATTAATTTGTGCTTACACTATACACTAGTCCGTTTATTCAGTTAATTTTCTTTATTTTTTTAGCAGATTAATTATCCTTTCCTATTATTACCAATTCTTTACTACTATAGTTGCTATTGAGATTATTTATCTTTTATTCAATCCTTCACGTCTTTTCTCATTTATTGTCATTTACCTTGATATTTACATTAAAGTTGTGCTACAATTATATTGTTCTATATTTATTGTTCTAGTTATCACTAACCATGTTTATACATAATCCTCATTTCTATCATCCTAAATAATTATTAATTAATGTTCACAAATTCTGCCCTATTAATCATCTGTTTGAGTTCTTTGTGCTATCAATAAATGTTTGTGACATATAATATATAGTCAAAACCAAACGACGACATTAGGCATAAATAACATTAATTATATTCTCATAATTTCAAGCATGACACTTTCATGGTTTTCATTGCATTCGCGTTCATATGTGATTCAATAATCTTTACAAAATCGTTAGACTTGTGCCATATCACCTATTCGGCGACCTCCATTCCTTGGTCCCCACCTCACATATGTGCTATGTCGGCAGCCCCTACACTCGCGGACCTTCCCTTGTCCCTTAGGGTTATTTAGGCATGGCGCTTGTTTCTTCACCCTCGAATCTGGGAACACTCCGGAACGATCCCTGAGGCTTTATGGCTGCCGCCCTCAGTATGCACTCGTGGTACGCCGCTGCAAACACTGCCCCTATGAATGGTCCGGCCGAGAAGATCCATTGCCAAATAAAACCATAACAAATTTACCCCGCAGAAAATATACTCATCTATTATATAGATATATGATTTCTTACGTGGTCATCCCAGATCTTGTCGTTGTTGTAGATAACAGCAGCGCCAAAGCTCCTAGCTGGGTTGATACCGGTTCCGGTGATGGGAACGTTGGCCAAGTGAACCACGAACACGGCGAACCCAATTGGCAAAGGGGCCAAAACCTGAAACCCATTTGAAAAAACGACACTTATATACCAAAAACGACACCTAAATCTACCATGCATCACAAAAAAGAGAGAAGAAAATAGGTAGGGGAATGTGGGAGTCACGGGGCGCTTCTCTTGGGGTCGGTGGCAGAGTAGACGGTGTAGACAAGGACGAGGGTGCCGATGATCTCAGCACCGAGAGCGGTGCGGTTGCTGTAGCAACAGGGCACGGAGTTGGCGGCGCCGTCGAACCTGTTGTACTCGTTCTTCATGAAGGCCTTCACGAGCCCAACTCCGAACATTGCTCCCAAGCTCTGAGCCAAAATGTAACCTGTTGTGTGGGAAATTCACAAACGACATGTCAGACAACAAGCTGCACGTGGCCCCATGCCTGCCACGTCATGTAACTATCGACGCCCAAGCCTCGTTGGTCTCTCCCGAACGGCAAGAGAGTTGAGCGTACGAGACCGTTGACTGTATACACAGTCGAGGTCTGCGAGACCAGCCCAGGCAAAGTAGAGCAACAAAGTCGACTATGAGGAGTCAATGCTTGGCCGATGTCAGCATAGGTGCAGAGGGCAGACTCGAACGACCGACTCCACACCCCGAGGCCCTTGAGGTGACCGGTCGAATATCCCAACGTTGCGTATGATTTGGAGGAGGTCAGTTGCACAGGAAATGATTACAAGCCCCCTAAACCGCCTGGAATAGGTCAAAAGATATTACAGAAGATCTACAGAGCCGTAATAGGGGGACAAATTAGATGAGTGAACAGTCCAAAAGATGTTGACAGACTATGGTCTAGACAGATAAGACAATATGCCACTTGAGTGAATGGGCTCACTTAAAAAAAACCCACTGGTCCAAACCGCCCACTATTGTGCAAGACCCAAGAGAGATGAGCTATAAAAGGGGAAGGACCCCCCGAGAGAGGGGGGATTGCTTCTCTTGTATTGAAACTCACTTGTAAACAAACAAACCAAAAGAAATATAAGTCAGATGTAACTCTTAATTTATAAGGGTGAACCACTATAAAATCTTAATGTCTTTTTATTATTACGAGGATCATAGCATACACTTCACAAATCCCATCACACGAACACACACAAACGGCGAAATCACAAATTCCGAACTGGTAACCAAGTGGGCTACCACAGGATAACTCGGTACGGCTTTGTTAACGAAATTTGACCATCAACATAACCCACTAGTCTTATCAACGAAACTTTCCTCGCCAAGAACATAGCCAACGTCACAGCGGCGTTGATGTGACCACCTTCAAAAAACATTATTAGTACTAAGAAATGAGGGTTTGGGGAAGTAGTGTGTTTTTTGTTTTGCCAGAGATTCCGGCGGTGCAGTAGACGAGGATGAAGATCATGCCGCCGAAGGCCCAGGCGATGCCGAGGAGGCCGACGCCGTCGCATTGGTCGGCGACGTTCTGCTTCTTGTGGCCGATGACTGTGGTACGGTGACGTAGAGGAAGAGCAAGGTGGCGATGAACTCGGCGATCAGGGCTCTGTAGAACAACCACAGTTTAAGCTCCGCCGTGCCGATCAGCGGCGCCCGTGGTGGGTCCGCGTAGTCCTTCCCTTGGTGGGCTTGGCTTTCCTCGCGCACTTCCCTCGACATATTCTCTCTCTCTCCCTCTCTCAATAATTTGCTTGGCTTTCCTCGCGCACTTCCCTCGACATATTCTCTCTCTCTCTCTCTCAATAATTTCTCGCCCTCTCAATTATTTATCTGTTTTGACTTATGTGATCGTGAAAATAACCACGGTTGGACTTAAGGATGAAAATTTCAACATCGGAGTAAATATCTCTACTTCAATAATCTTTCAAGTGTCTGTTGAGATTTATTACGTTGGTTCTTGTGATTTCTTTCCATATTTAGAGATTCTGTGGTTGTCAAGGACCGTCAATTAGAAGTAAATTAGGTGATAATTCTCAATTAGTTTACTTACCCGTTTGTATTATTATTATTATTATTTTTTTTTAATATTTCTTCCCTTCTAAATAGGGTGAGAATTCTTTGTAATATGAAAATTAATGAATCAAAATGTAGTCTTGTCTATTCTCGTTCTCCCTTCTCTTTCTGTCTTTCTTCACTTTTCATTTTCTTTTATTTCTTTCGTTCTTCATTTTAAAGTATTTTGTTCTTTAATTTTCAATTGTGTGAACGTCGGTTTCCCCCCCCGTGTTGTCCTTACAATTGGTGTTCTCCTGACCTTTTTGTCCTCATTTTCCTAGTTGATGTATTTTACGCTTCTGTCGTTTGCATCTCTGTGATCGTTTATTCATTTGATATTAGTTAATGTATCCTTTTCGTTTTCCTTTTATTTTTCTTTTATCACGTGTCTGTCATTTCTTTTCTTTATCGTCGTTGTTTGTTTCTCTGTCGTTACCATTTATGTAGTTGTTTTCAACGTTTCTGCCCACCCTGAACTTCACTTCGTTTATTCTTCAGCTTTGTTCCTATCGTTATTGTTTTTCTTTTGACTTGTAACCTTTTCACCATCCTTTTATTTTTACTGTCGTTTCCTTTTAATCGTCGTTTCTTCACTTTACCGTTGTTTGAGTTTAACCATTCTTTATTCATTCGCAGCTCCTGTCTGTCGTCGTTTTCCTTCTAGTCGTATTTTATGTTTCTGCCATTTCCTCCGATATTATTGTTTACTCATTTGTTATCGTTTCCTTGATTAATCGTCGATCTTTCATATTCTGTTGTTTCCCGTTTTACATCGTTGTTTTTCTCCTTATTGTTATCCCAGATTTTGTCGCATATTGTTCGGAGTCGTTCGCTATTGTTCTCGTTCCCTCATTTGTAGTCATTCGTGTTTATTGTTGTTTTTTATTTTCAGTCGCTTGCATATTTGATGTCGTTTTTCTCTTCCTTGCCTTTCTTTCTGCCGTATCCTCATTTATTGTCGTTTGCATATTGGACGTTGTTTTTCTCTTTCTTGCCTTTCTTTTGTTTTCTAGTTTCGAGATTGCATTTGTCGGTTAAGCGGAAAGGATCATAACAGCAACACTTACCGGTACACCCTGCGGCTGATTTGGAGAAAAAACACTGCTATAGCTTTGCTTTATTGTTTTAACCATTCTCCACGTGGGGATAGCACGCCTTCTCAAATAAAAAAGCAATAAACAAACTTGGAATGTGGGGTTTAGACTCGGGAAAAAAAAAAACCCAACAATAAAACAGACAGTTGTATCATATTTCGTCGCGAACCAAATGCCATTTCTACTTCTTGAATCCTAGCCACCCTAATCGACACCAAATTTAATCATTCACTAAAGTATGCAACCGCCAAATATAGGATCACGGAAGTTGAATGCTGAACACTCGTTTGTTTATCACAGTTTATCGTTATGATGAACACTTGTTTAACGAGTACAATACAAATACTAAACTTGTAGACACCAACCAAGAAATAATAATAATAATAATACTAATTTTTAAAACATGCAGTAATAGTACTTCTTCATCAACCCATTATAAATACATAACAGAATGTCCTTCCGGCATATGCAGAAGTAATAATTTACATATAAGAAAAATAGTGTACGGCAACTTATTAAAAGGGATGCCTAAAGAAGACAAAAGAAAAGAACATTGAACCATTATTACGAGCTTCTCGTAATCAAAATCAGCTATCTTTTCATCATCTTTTCAGTGAAGAATTTGGCCACCATATAAGCCAAGGCTTTTCTCCATTGAGACGCTACAAATAACTCAGGCAAAAAATGGATATTTGTCGACTATCGGAACAACTTGCATATAAACACTTCACGTCTGACTTGCATGTGTTAAGCGTGCCGCCAGCTTTAATCCTGAGGTTTGGTCAAGGCCTTTTCCCATGCAGGGAAGACTTGAGCAACCGCGTCACTTGTGAACAAAACACGTTATAATCCAGTGAATCTGTTACAAAAAGAGGACACCAAAAGATATGAATGGAATGACTTATGGTTAAAAGAGAATAGCAGCTGCCTATCTATGTACTATACTTACGATATTATTTTTACGATCATGAAAGTAGAGTCCTTGAATAGCTATTATAGCTAAGTTAGAGCTAACTAGAACAAAAATACTCAAGGAATGCATTCCCATCCACTCCAACACAAATGTTAAGCTCCTGAAACCATAAACATCCACCTGCGGTCGAAAGCACAAAACCCCATTTTGTTATTCTGCAGCAACTTACTTTCTAGATTGATGATAGAAGAGGATTTAAAGAAATATTGCTCTTTCATTAGAATAAGTCATTACAACTCACCAGTAGATACAGAATACAGAATGTAATTCCCGCAGATGCAGAAGTAGTTAGCATATAACTAATTGTATACAGTGATTTATTTAGAGGGATGCCTGAAAAAAGAAAACATGAGAGGAGGGAAAGAAAGTAGGTTATTTCCATCTCTACCGAAGTATATCAGAAATCAAACATCGCAATCAATTTGTTGATAAGTCAAAAAATATCAGAAATATGATTGTATTGGTGATGTCATCTCAGTCAATTATAGCTTGCCCGAAGTATATGTTAAACTTCAAGGAAAAATTACATTCCCAAGTGCGTACCAATGAAGGCTAGAAACAATCCAATACCAAAAATCGAGACAGAAAATAAGGACCAACTCTCTAGCCGCCTTTTGTGATCCTGCAAATCATTGAAGCATTATAGATCAAATCAAGGGTCAACTTGATTGATGCTTGTATTATGTTATATATATCAACAAGGCTTTCACCTGTAACTGAGCAAGAACGTGACCATACTGAAGTCCAATTATGCAGGTTACAGCAGCCGTTAAAGAACTGTGCAACATCATAACAAAGTCAAAGAAGAAAATGATATGACTGCTGCATACAAAAGGAAACAACTAAATGTGCTTTTAACACACAGTAAACAAGTATTCTTTAAATTTCAAAGGCTCCACCGAAACCTCTGTTCCAATTGTTGGTTTCTTCCACTAACTGATTTTTTGTTTGAGTCATGAAAGAGCACCAAGCATAAACATAATGTAAACCGACACGGAGCTAACAAGAGAGAACTCTTTTGGATTATTGTGAAGAGAAAAGAGTTTTAGATTGACCACCTTAAAATACCTTCAGGATCAAAAGGAGCATGACACCATGAAGGTGAACTCTCTGGAACTTCGCCATTGGTTGTCATATTGCACTCCTACAAATTGAAATTTTGAATAAGGCATCCTTTTACTGCATATTTTAGTTTTAGAAATCAATGACATAAGCATTCTACAGCGAAATACACCCATAATGGATACCTTCAAGTTTTTGTAAACAGGTTTAGTATACAGATGGCCGATACCAAGAACATACCGATCAATCATTCCAGCAGAATTACAAGCAGGTCCAAGGTCTCCTCTCACAGAACATTTCACCTATGTCAAAGAAATCAGAATGATTGCACGAATCAAGAATGATTAGACAACTAATAGAAAATATGAAATACTTAATGCACAAGATTCAACATAATTGTATTATAAATCAAATAAAAGTTTTTGTCCCTTTATTCAAAGAAAGAAATTCCAAAAGTACAAACTACTAATTGAATGGCTTTCTTCATTTAAGATCTGTGAAAATCTGAGGTAGAAAAAAAAGAAAGACTATCTTAGGACAACATCACCCTGACTAGAATTAGAAACAATTGCGAGAAATATTAAGACAAATTGTCTGCTCGACGTTGAGAGTTTGCAACTAGGCAGCTATCATAGTGTTGGAACAACTTTTCATTTGGCCTAACATAATTCTAACTTATGTGATTAGTCCATAGCCAGTATAAAATTATTGACTCACAGCAGATTAACAAATAAATTTAAGAAGGAAGCACTGAGATACTCTCACCATGTAAACAGAACTATCATTTGATGGAAGCGAAGAGGTTGCAGGAGACACTTTAAATTGCCAATCTGGAACGTATAAACCATATAATAACCCCGCATATATTGCTGATAGTGAAAAGGCAACACACCTAGAAAGTCGATACAAATTTTGAGGTTACAGGGTACAGAAAACAAAAAGAAGAACAATAGTAGTAATTCCTGAATCTGTAGGACACTCATGAAATGATATAGCTGTATAGACAAGGTCTAATGAACCAAATATTGCTTGAAGTCACTCCCAATGCTGGGGGCTGTAAAAAACCTTATCAAAGGCCAATGATGAGTAGAGTAGTTTGACTGCTCGAGACCGGTTGGGGATCAAGCTCATGACTTCCTTAAGGTCTTGGTCTAAAACATCGAAAAATACTTGTGTTCTCAAAACTTTGAATAAACTTTATGGTTTCTTGATTTCAATACCTACAAGTCAAGTGTCACCAGTGTACAGGACTGAACTGCACAAGTAGCTTCTTGGGGTGAATTTCTCATACATACACGTTCTTTTTAAAGTAGAGAATAAGTAACAAAAAGTCAAACATATAATCTTACAAGTGCGAATAGTAACTCTTGAAGAATCCTATTTCCCACCCCGTTTGATGTGAAAGCCATATTTCACATAAAGCAGCCACAATGTATCCAATAGATATTCGCTGCATTAAATAACAAAAGAAACCCAAGTTTAGTTCTTTTCTATATGTTCAAAAATGTAGACAAAATGAATAACATTTGTTAGTGAATAATTATATGATACACTAGCTTAAAAAGGTAGTGACCTAAGCAAATGTCTAAGATGATCACACGTAACCCCATTGCGCTTTTGAGAAATCAAATGAAACCTCAAATAAAAAGGGCAACAAGAAATGTAGAAGCATGTAATTTCATGTAATAGTATGTTAAATGTTTTAATTCGTATCAAATCCAAAGCAAGATTTGTGCGTCAGATTAATGATCATTCGCTATACTTTTGGTAATGTACTTGTCCAATCTTTCTACCATTTAAGCACACAATATACTAACTGGATATTAGTCACCTGCAAAATGCCAAGCCACCGTATTCTTTCGACATCAACACCATATGTCATGGAAGACACTCCATGAAAATAACCCCCTGAGACCAAATGAACCAACAACCAAGATTCGAGAATAATTCTTCAATAGCAATTTTGATATTACACCATCAAATAATAAAAACAACATAGTAAAACAACACCAACAAAAGCCTGTCAAGAGAGAGAGAGCCTTGTGAACTGAAAACCGCAAATTTCACGTAACAAAAATAGCTCTGCAGTCACCATTAACCGTCTAAGATCCTTTGGGCGCGTTTGGAACTCGTTTCAAAATGATTTTATTTTTTGTATGAAAATAAAAATGAAAACGTTTTCAATCTCAGACAGAAATTATTTTTAAAAATGCGTTTAGTAGTTTTATTAAGATATTATTTTCAGTGTAAAAAATCAATTAATGTCTCTCTTTCTTTCTCTGGATGAGTATTCTTGTTTATATCGCTACGGCTATAAACACTTTCTTTTTCCTATTAACAAAACATCCCCTTTTTTTTCGCTCGTCCGGAACCGGTACAGAAATGGGAGCTTTCGGAACCGGTACAGAAATGGGTGCCTTTTTTACGTTGTTGAAATGAAAAAAGACTAAAAGTCGTTTTTCATTTCTCTCTCATTTTACACTAAATCAAAAAATCATTTTCATTTCCGTTTTTTGTCTTTATTGTGCCAAACACCGTTTTGGAAACGTTTTCATTTTTTCTTTCCCGAAAAACGTGAAAAACAAAAACGAGATCAATTCCAAACACGGCCATTTTTCACGGCATAGACATTCAGTACTCGGTGAAGTTATCAACAAGGGTTTACCTTGAAGAATAACGCCAAGGAAAAACAGTTTCAATGCCCTAAGTACAGCTTTCCTTGTAGCTTCTAGTCGATCAGGCACTTTCTGAATTATATACAAGCAAGTTTTAAAATTTTTCAAAACTTCTAATATGCATTAGTGAAATACTAACCATGAAATTTGAAACGAATGATGGTACAGAAAGTACACATTTTGAGCAAAATTCTTCTCTTAATCACAAGATAAAGACAACTTTTTTGCTATTATATTTTACCTTATAGACAAGCGCAGGTGAAACTCCAGCAATGAAAAGGAAAAACGGCATCACAAAATCGGCCAAATGAACGCCATTCCAAGGAGAATGGGTGATTACGGGAAAAATTGAGGCACCATAATCAACGACCATCATCAGCTGGAAACGCACCAAAAATTTTGCCATTACTATATCGTTGTAAAAAAAAATCCAAAAATTCACTTTCTACTACATCTCGACTAACTTATTAATGTCCCTTTTTCTCGGAAAACAAACAGAGCAACTAGAAAGTAGTTGACTCGGCACAGAAATCATTCGAAGCTTAAATGAAAAAGAAGCAAAAATTATCGAATCAAATCTAAAACTTTGAAGTAATGAGAGTTAGCAAAAGGAGATGAAGAGGAAGCTCACGAAGATGCAGAGACCGCGGAAGACATCGAGAGAGGCGACACGTGGAGACCTCCGGTTGGTCGCCGGTCGGTCTTCTCCGTCTAGCAAAAGCTCGTAATTGGCCATTTTTACCGGCAAAGTCGCCGGAGATCCGATTAACTTAGCTCCGAAACAAGTCCGAAATAGAAAATATCGATTTCTCAGAGAAGAAGAAAAATAAGAGGAAGAAGACGAGTCTACTACAAGACTACGCTCCGGCCGAAGCAGTGTCCGATTTGTCTCTAATGGGAGATGGGACTACGTGGCGAGACCTGGTTGGTTAAAAGAAAAAGAAGAAGTTAAAGTCTCTGAATTTATTTTTCTTTTAAAAAAAAAACAAATTGTGGAAGTGGCGACGAAGCTTGATCATACGGAAAGAAGCAACGTGGGGATCTTCAGAAATATCTTTTTGGAATTTTGGCAATTTAAAACTTTTTTCTTTTTTCTTTTTGGAGAGTAAAAACAAAAGGGAATTACAATTTTTGTTCGAAATTTCAGTGAAAAATTTATAATTATTGCCTCATGCTTTCGTTTGTAACTTTTTTTTGTACGTCACAATTTTTATGCTTTCGTTTTTTTAAAATTTATTTTTACATAATAATTATAATCATTTTCTTTAATTGTTTCTATATTAAAATATATAAATGTGTGCAAATAAATAATTCAACTTGTGATTTGAGTTAAACTTAAAAATATATTTTAATAAGAAACAATAAAAAAACAAGTATCAAAGTAAAAACATGTAAGCAAAAGGTTGAAGAACAATTTATATATAAGCACGCAAACAAAGGAGTTGAAGAAAAAAAAAAACTCATCGACATTATTGAGAGAAAAAAAAATGTTTTAAAGGGCAAATTTTAGAAAAAAGAATTTTATAAGAAACATTGAAATAAAAATAAAAAAATAAAACAAAAAATAAAACTCTCCTGAACAATTGAGAAAAAATATTTTAAAGATTCTGACGTCAGAGCAACATTGAAATAAAAAAATTGAAAAGAAAGGTAAGAATAAAAAAAATATAAAATTTTGGGGAAGAAATATAAAAAGAAAAAAGATGAAAAGCGAAAAAAAAAAACAAACTAGCGCTTAAAATACAATATATGATTCTTATTATTGTGTATAGAATATTGTAGCTGTAGTGTTTTTGATATAGATTTTATTTATTTTTTAACTCAGGAGAGTTAGATTTGAACTATTCACATAGAGTTATGTGTGAAATTATCGCTACTCAATTCCTTTTAATATAAATTATTGTATAGATTATTATGGATAGATATAGATATATAGTTTTTTTTTTCTAAAAAGAAATTTTCATTCAGAAGAAAGGCCAAACAGCTACAAGTCACAACGACACAAAAACAACAAAACGCGCACGGCGAAACAGTTTGATTTATCTTGCGTTTGAAGCGCTACCTATGCCTCGTTTGAAATCCTAGTATCATGGTTCATGGATATTGCCCGTATTGAATAGGAACATATTTATAAAAAATTAAATTCAAAATTGGCTTTCAATTTGAAAATAAGATATACGGAATTTTCTAATGAGGAAAAGCTTGAAAATTATCCCTTCAGGCTTCAATTAAAAGAGATAGAAAGCTGCGTGAAAAAAAAAAACACTCTAATAATTACTCGAATTATTGGCTTATTTACTTCATATGTTTAAACAAAAATTTATTTTTTTAATGAGAAAAACAATATAGTAAAAAGGCTTGACTTGCAATCAAACTCTCCGTTTAGTGACTTTTAAAGGCAGTAGATCACGATTCGGGATTTTCTTTTTTGTGAGAATTGAAATAAGATTCTCTTTTTGTTGGTAAATAGAATCCCCATTACCCATCGCTGCTTTTAGCACCTTTGTGGCTAATAACACCCTATAATGCGCCTCAAAGAATTCTCTCTTTACTTTGGAAAAAATAAAAAAATCTCTGATAGAATTAAAAAATAAAAAATAAAATGCCCATAATCTTTATATTTGTATTAAAAATTATATATTTTAAATATTTTTTAATTTAATTTAATAATTAAAAATTGACACTTTCAATAAAATTAATTTACGAGAAAAACTCCAAAATATATAAATAAATAAATCCTTGATTCTCTTTCCCCTTTTCTCGGCTGTTTTCCTCTAAAAAAAAAAAAAAAAGAGTAAACTTTTCTCTTAAAAATCAAACAAGCAGTTGAAAAAAAAAAAAAAAAAAAAAGCAGAGAATTTTATCAGTTAGACCCATTTTAGTGTGGCATTATCTGGTTGGACGACAACCATCATATTTTCGTTCCAAAGAAGAAAAAGGGGGAAAAAAAAAAAAACTTTCTTGCTCCTTAAGATTCTCTGTTTTTTTTATATATAAATAAACTATGTATACAAAGAGAAGGCAATGGAAAAGAAAAATGACGAAGGGGAAGAGAGAGAGAGGGGTCCTTCAAGACGAGCTTGAGGATTATGCTTTCGTGACAGAGAGGCTCCTTATTTTCACTCTCATATTGTTCCCCAATTTCACATCTTGGTGTCTCTTTTTCTTGGCCTTAACGAATATCTGTTACCTAGTCCATTCCCAAAGCTTACTACATGGCTTAATGATATCATCAGTAAGTATCTCTTTTGATTATTTCACTAATAAATATTTTATGTAATTTGCGCTTTTCTTATAATTTTTTTTTTTTGAATAAATAATAAAAAATTATTTTGTTGCAGTTGTATCGACATTGCACGTTTTGGCTTGAGCGACTTGCAATGATTCTTGTGGCAGCACAACATGTGTTTTCCGAGCGTAGCTTTTGGTCCATGGCCATAGCCTACTTTGCACTGTCCAATATGCTTTACTTGGCACATCTGAAGAAGCTGCCGCAGAAGGTCTTTTTACCCGGTTCGTCTTTTTACGGACCTAACCCTACTGAGGTTAGTTTTATTTTTTTTATAAAATTATTGCCTGTTTGTTTGGCGGTTCAAACTTTTTTTTTTTTTTTGTTAAGTTATTTTATCTCACCAGAAATTTGAATTTCTATTCATACTTTTTGTTCAAATCTTTGAACCAAACGAGGTATTAGTATTATGTGTTAATTACTCGATATCGAATTTTGCAGGGACGTTGTTACCACTTTTGGTTTCGATTGGCAGTAATTCTCCTAGCTTCGCTGCCGTTGAATTCCGTTCTTAACTTAGTGATTGAGAACTTTTTGTATACTTTATTGGGATCATTTGCTGTGCCGGTAATCGTGGTTAAGTTTATAAAGCCAGGGAATTTGTCGGACATGCTTACTTATAATACCCCGAAGACCTTAAGTACTCGCATCCTTAACTTTAATGTAAGTCTTCGTATAAAGAAAGCAAAAGGGTGTTTTGTGATAAGAGTTTTTTTTTTTTTTTTTCGTGATTTTTTGATCAAATTAAGAAATCTGTATGCAGCGGTGGAGATTTCTATTGCTGAAGGAAATCACCAATTTTTCCTTTTTCTTTTTTCTTTTCACTTTCAAAACGAAAAATTAACAACCCTTGATGTTTCTTGCAAAAAAAGAAAGTTGTTTTGATTGTATGCAAAATTAAATGCTACCAATGATCAAAAGCAATATGCAATTTAACATTAGACGTGTGTAAGTCTAAAGATTGCAATTTGCATCATTCCAATTCATAGTACTTCAAATCCTAGCTCATGTTCTGTAAATTGCTCATACATCAGTCAAAAAAATTAAACCTGCAACTTCTTGTCAAATGTCTCTAATAGTTCCTTCTATATGTCAGCTTCATATGTACATGTACGACATATAGGTCACATTTAATTTTATTCGCATCACATAATTTTTTGACTCGGAACTTTTCTTGAAAACACACACACACATATATAGAGACAGAATTTGACCTTTTTTTTTTTTTTTGGCAGGATACTGAGTATCTATTTTGGTTTGAGAGAGCGGTGACAATCTTGCTCCTAATAGCCTACGGTATTAATCATGAATCTGCAGCCTCCAGTTGGCATCTAGCTGCTTGTCTCTTCTCTGTAACCAATTCAGTCTACTTCATAAATTTCATTGAGCTCATTCTCCATGTTATCAGTCCTAATGTTGAAGTAAGTCCCCTTTGTTTTTCATTTACTTATTTTTCTATCAATATAATGCTCAATTTTTGCAAATAATTAATAACATTACCATATCTATCTTGTCAAAGATTGATATTTTGCGTGTAATAGGGCAATTGCATCCTATTCACTTTAGTTGGTGGGAAAATGCTAAATGTTACCGTTCAGTTCACTACTAATATATGAAACTTATGTGGATGTCGTTTGGTTCATATGTTTTTTTCTCGTAAAAATTTAGATTTCTATTCTACGAACCATGGGAAAATTTGTGTTGAACTATGTGGCACTTACATATCATGAAAATCGGTGAACGATTGTTCTATGACCTCTCTTTCTTGTTTGTCAAATGTTCGCGTTCACACCTAGTACTTCGAACTAGTGAGATGGTTCTGGTTGCATATACCCCTCAGAAGTTCACGTGAAATCTTAGAAGAAAAAATAGTGTGTGGAGCCATGTATAATAATCTCTGTCTTTATTTTTTTAGTAAAAATAAATAAATTACATATTTATTTTATTGCCATTGGGTGGAAGTGATAGCACTAACCAATCTTTGCTTTTACATTACAGAACGCCAAAGCTGAAGCAACAAATGAATGTCCATCAAAAGAAGCATCAAATGTAGATCATGCCAAAGATGAATCTCCTTCGACAGAAGCATCAAAAGAAGATGCCAAAGCTGAAGCAAAAGATGAATCTCCATCGAAAGAAGACGCCGAAACAGAAGCAAAAGATAAATCTCCACCTAAAGAAGCCGATGTCAAAGCTAAAGTAAAAAGTCAATCTATGTCGAAGCAATCATCAGAAAAGGATCAAAGTAGCAGAAAACTAGGAAGTACTACTAACGAACGGCTGAAGTTTTATCAACGGACGAGCCTGATGACTGGTGCTACTTCTCCATTGTCCCAAAACCAATTCCCTTACCCCTTCCCTGCACATTTATGTCCAACTCCACTACTGAACACGCCAATGATGAATAATATTCCCCATATTCCTGTTCAATATTATTCATTACCAACTCCAGGAATGAGCACTCAAACGATCAACTACCAAAGCCCAAAGGTTATAACGCTGGGCAAGGAGAGCATCACATCTCTGAGAGCAGAGAGAACAAAATGGGAAGCGGAGAAAAAGGGCCTCACTGCAAAACTCGAAAAGAGCCAACAACTACTTGCCAAGCTAGAGAGCAAGGATAACAAGCGAGAAGAGAAAATCAAATGGGAAGCGGAGAAAGAGGACCTCGTTGCGAATCTCGAGAAGCTAGCAAAAGAGAAGTCCGTCCTGATGGCCAACGCCGAAGCGCTGAAACAACACAAAGACGAGTGCGAGGAAGAGGTTGAGAAGCTGAAAGCCGAGGTGAAGGTGCTGGAGTCGGTATCGGAGCACGACCAGTCGATGTTGCTCGTGCTAGAGCAGAGGAGCAAAGACTTGGTGGACGAGAAGAAGGGGCTCCTTGTCAAGTGGAAGAAAAGGTGGAGAAGATGGAAAAGCGAGAAGGATAGGCTCAAGGAGAAGCTCGAGAACGCGGAGGCTCGGTGCGAGTACTACTCGTCTGTGACGGGTGATTTTGCGGAAAAGAGCTTGGAGTGGGATGCGGAGAAGGAGCGTCTGAGGGGGGAGCTTTGTGAGGCCAATGAGCGGTGTGAGCTTTACAAGAGCCTATTGCGCGAGGGAGGTTATGGGACTCCCAAGTTTCCTTCAGTTTAGAGTTTAGACTTTAATTTAGCTAAAGCTTTTTTTTTTTTTTTTTTTTTAAGGTTTTTAAGGACAAGTTGCCATTTAGATCCTGTTTGTTCTGATTATGATGGTGTTTTTAGTATAGCAGAAACAATCAAACAAAGGAATTTCATGGGGTTTGGTGACAATTTAAAAGAAAACTTTAAATTGAATTCTCTGTGCTAGTTCTATGTTTTATATAGTTTCGTAATAAACTAGTGTCTGCTTTCGTATGACACTGATCAAATGCTGCTTCGTTTTTGAAGTATTACAAAAGGTTACAAGCCTATTTGGAAGCAATTGTTTTTACTATGAATTGGAAATGAGAGTTTTTTTTTTTTTTATTTATTTATTTATTTTAAATGGTGTTGTCGTATTGAAATCATTTTTAAAGTTATATTTTGTTATTTTTTTTTTAATGAGAGTGATTGTTTTGAATATAATAAAATAAGTAATTTATACAAATGGTCTTCAATTTTTGTAAAAAATGACAGTTTAGTTTTTATTTATTTATTTTTAATAAAATGATCCCCAATCTCTTTAAAAAATAATATTTGATCATTTTTGTCAAATTTTTAACACATGTTACGCACTCATCATGTGACTCACTTTCTTAATAAAATGACTTAAGATCCGTTTAGTTCGCTAATTCGAGTTGAGATGTGATTTTATGTGAGAATTTTTTACTGTAATAAAAAAGTTAGATGTAATTATTTGTGAGAGTTTTTTACTGTAGCAAAACTCAAATTCTAAACTCGAATTAGAAATGAACGGGGCCTTAAATACTCCCGTAACAAAAATCCCACAATGCACCTTGCCGAAACAGTGATAGATAAACAAATTGCAAAAGAAAAAAAAAAAAAACCCGCTTCTCTCTCTCTCCCGTTATCTCTCCGTCCCTCAACCTCTCTCTCACCTCTCACCTTCTCTATCTCTCTCTGTTAACGTCGGCCGAACTCCATCACAAACGCCGACCATGTCGATCTCAAGCTGTTGCCAACGAAGATCGCGAGTTGCAGAGCCAAAGTCGCCGGAATGCACACGCTGTCAAAACTCGAGCTCCTCACGCAAAGTTGTCGGAGGGGAACCGGAGCACAACGAATCTCCCCTCAACGTCGGTGCTAACTGCGCGAATCTTCCCGCCGACGAGCCTCTCGCCTCCCACGCTGCCAAGCTTGAGAGATGAGAGATGTTTTTGTTTCGCAGGTCATGGATCTGGTTCGCGGAGGAGAGAGTCGTGAGAAGAGAGAGGTCCGGGGGGTCGCGGAGGAGAGAGAGAGAGAGTGGCCGGGGGTCGCGGTGGATAGAGAGTCATGGAGGAGAGAGAGAGTCATGGAGGAGAGAGAGAGTCATGGAGGAGAGAGAGAGTCGCGGAGGAGAGAGATTTTCACGTGGGGAAGAAGAGAGAGAGGGATGTCGCCGGAGATAGGGATGTCGCTGGGTTGACTTCTTTAGAATTTTTATTTTGATTTTTGTTGAAACAGAAATTATTCAGTTTATTAACCTTTTATTATGAGATGCTGTTAAAAATTTAACGAAAAAGATTAAATTGTCATTTTTTAAAAAGATTAAGGTCGTTTTATCAAAAAAAAAAAAATTAAGGATTAAACTGTTATTTTTTAAAAAAATTAGAGATTATTTATGTAAATTACCCTAAAAGAAAATAAAATTGTATTTGGTTGCTATAAAAAAATTAGAATATTCGATATAACAATGCTGATAAATCTAAAAGATGAAAACAGAAAGGACAAAAAATGAGACCAGTTTAAAGCTATATCAGTGGTTTTCCGAAAATGCACACCGAGCAAAGTCCATTTAAGAACTATTTTCAAATCAATTACATCAAGAAACACGCACCCAAAAAAAAAAAAAAAAAAGCTATGAATATAGAACCAAACAACCAAGCATTCCTCCTCCGATGACTTCCATAAAGAAAGCCTTGTCTATGTGAGCTGAAAAGAAGTTGGTGATGAACAAAGATCGTTCTGCATATTTCGATTTCCTAGTGAATTTGATTGGTTTGAAATACAAACTATCAACCAAACTAAAAATATTAACTTATTTTCATTCGGTTTTAAATTTCTTGAAATCATAAAAGAAAATAGTTTATGAAAGAGACGTGGACGTTTGGTTGATAGATTTAAAATTATTCTCGATTTACGTATATTTTTTGTGACAGAAAATATTATAGTGAATCACGAATCATGATTCGAACTATGGCACGAATCATGAAGTTTTAACTTAAGAGTTAAATTTTGTTGAAAATTTGAATAAGATTCTCAAAAATATTTGGTCAAGTTTCCCTTTAATTGTAACCGGTAATTTTCAATTGTTTGTTAGTTCACTTTTCTAGTCATGTTAGTTCCCCTTTCTAATTATGTTTTTCTTCTTTATAAAATAAAGAGATCTAAAGATTGTGATTGCAATAAACACTATCTTTATGTATGATTAATGATATTGATGGATTAATTAAAACTCCTTCATCTTTATTTCTTCTCTTTCTCTATATTCTTTCTCTAATTCCTTTCTTCTCTTTTATCTACCTATTTTCTCTCTTTCCTCTTACACTTACGTCACTAATCAAACTAAAAAGAAAGATTTCAAAATAGATCAAAATTACGCTAAATAAAAGAAAATAAAAATACATCAATCAGTTCTCTACAATTTATTTGAGCTCTTTTTTTTTTCTTTTTTTTTTTTTTGTGTCGACAATGAAGACACCCATGATAGTTCCCAACAATATGCTTGAATTATCGCTTGGAATCCCAACAGTAAAGTACCCAATATTTACAAGAAAAATGTTAGTATCACTCTTTTTGTCTAGCATCATTTTTTTTTTCACGACTTTATGCATTCACCAGTGATACTAGCATTTCTCTATTTAACATAAATGAAGTTTTAAAGAAGACAATAATGCAATAAACAAATTGATACTCAAATTGTCTTTTTTTTTTTTTTAAAAAACAGTTTTTTTTTTAATGAAGTTTTTTTTAGATTAAAAAATCTTAAACAAAAAAAAAATTAAGGAACTTGAATGTTGAATTATGAGTGTTAAAACTAAATTTGTAATTTTTTTTAAATGGAAATTTGTAATTTTGAAATTATATACATTATAAGCATTTATCTTTAGATACGTGATAGTCGATATCTGATAGTTATTTTGAGAAAAGTCTTGCACTTTCAATTATTACATTTTTAAATAGCGATGTGATGATCTTAGTTGTTTTTCTGCTAGATAAAAAGAATAATTTCATTAAAAAATCAAATGAGAAAATATCAAGAAAAATTGCTAGAAATTAGAAAAGCCAAATCATAAATCTTTAACGCTGTAAGATTAAATTATAGATTAATTTATTTTGTGCCACTGATACATTGAATGCGGTTGCCGAAAGGAAAATGAAGATTGAAGGGTATTTGTAATGATGCTATATAGATTTATCGATTGTGCATTGCTAAAATAATTACAAGAGAACGATTAAAGAAAACTTGTTTTTATGTTATTTCTGGATCAGGTTAAAGAAAAAAGAAAACACATTGAATTAAGTCCTAAGGAAACATGATTCCAAGACTTGAAAACTAAAAAAATTGACTAGAGTAAGAAAAGCAAAACAAAGAAAAACAAACTCTTCGCTTAAGAAAAAGGAAAAAAAGGGGCTCCTAAATCATCTATCAAACATTCCTAGGTGATATTAGTAACATGGTGAAGGGAGTTTTTGGTAGTGTGGTGCTACTCAAAGGCCCATTGATTCTCCTTACGAACCTCCTCTTCTTCCTCCCGGGTGAAGTCATTCTTGATGTTGAAAGTCTTGCGAATCTCCTCAGGAGTCTTCCCCTTTATCATGTCTGCCACAGTCTGGCAAGTCAGATCCAGTAGGCTTTGGATGTTCAGATAGTTCGCTGCCTGTAAAACATAACACAAATACCACGTCAATGTATGATCACGAGAAGATAAACTTAAATTTTTATGGGAGAAAACTGTAATAAATTAAAAGATTGAATTGTGATTCAAAGAAAACAACATTATTTAAGAAGAAACGGATTAATTCATTTAAAAAGGGGAAAAAAAAACAAACAGCAAACCAAACCCTAGATTTTAGTACTTTACCATTAACCTTCGTTAATAAAAAAGAAAAACAAAAAATAACTAAAAAATAATGAAGATTCAAGAAACGAAAAAAGAAAAATCGTAACAAATTAATGGACATTCATCAGAGTTACTCACAACCACAGAACAAGCGAAAAGGATTAGGTAAAAAAGGCTCACCAAGATGAGGTCGAAGAGAGTGGCCTGGTCGACACTGACGAATTCGGCGTCCCAAGACTTGAGCCATTCAGTACTATCGGCGGAGGCGGCGGCGGAATCGACGTGCTTCTGGCAGTATTCCATGACCTTGGAGAGGATGTTTCCAGAGACATTGGTCACCGGGATGGGGAGGTCGATGCTGCAGCCGTCGTCCACCAAGTTCTTGAGCGTCTGCGACATCTTCGCCACCTCGTCGGCGACTTCGAAGATTTGGTCGTCCGAGCTCCTTAGCTTTATCATAGTATTCTTCTTCTCCTCCGAAGACGACGACATCGTTCTTTCTTGTGTTGTACACAGAGATTTTGGAAACCCTAGCGCTGCGTTATTCTCTGCGAGTTTTTTTGAGAGAGAGAAAGAGGTTGTGAAAGAAGATGATTGTGTGGGGTTCAATGTGGTATTTATAGGGCGCAAGTCGCAACGGCTTGTTTGTTTCCGCTTCGGAGTCTAAATAAGGTGACGTCAGCAAAGAAGCTTTTTTATTTTCTTCATTTTATTGAGTTCTCTTCTATATTATTTTCCTTTTCTTTTTCGAAAGTATTTCGTATTTTAATTAGGTCAAGGTTTGCGTTATCTTTTCTTTTCTTTTCTTTTCCTCTTACCGAATGAGTTTCCGATTTTGATTCGGTTGATGTTTGCTTTTTCTCTAGGAGGATGTTTAGTTTGAGGATTCAAACTATGATTTGAATCATGATTTATGATTTACTATAGTATTTTTTCTCATAAAAAATACACGTAAATCGAAAATGATTCTAATCACATGATTCTAATACATGAACCAAACGTCTCCTTATTTTTTATTATGATTTATGAGGGTAAGTTGCCAAGTCACCCTTATTTGTTGTTATTATTATTATTATTATTATTTTTTTTTTTTACTCATGACCTTTTTTTTTTTTTTTTCTCTCATGTCCCTTATTTATTACTTTGAATAAAAGCTTAGAAGGTACTTTTTTTTGGGGAAAAAAAGATTTGGACGGTAATAAATTTATAAACAATATTATATATTTTTTTCAATTTTTTCGAAGAGATGTATTACTCCATTATAAGGGTGGTAATTTGTATCACGTGTCATATTTTGGTTGTTTCTTCATAAATTTACAGTCAACCCGGACACGACCCGTGACCCGAATTTATTTAAAAACTACAATACAAACACGACATGACCACTTTATGGATTGACACAACACGACATGAAAATTACCCGTGACACGAAATTGACCCGTGAACCCAAAATTGACATCAAAATTATACACTTTTCTTTAGTTTTTTACATATTAGAAATAACTTAAAATCCATAACACGCTAAAATACAATAACATCCATAAAAATTAAGCAAATAATAATATAAGATTTTGAATATAGTTATCGTGATATCACAAGTTCATAAAAAAATCTAAAATATGTAATGCAAAATATATATTTTAGTTTTTTTACGAGTTTTGTGTCTTGTTCGGGTTAGGCTGGTCTAACTCGAAATTGACTCATGTTTTTCGTGTCAATTTCAGGTCGACCCAATTCTGACCTGAACCTCTTTTTTCTCAATCCTAACCTGCGAAATTCGTGTTGTTTTCGAGTCGTGTTGTCATGTCGTGACCCATATTACCGGTCCTACTCGATCAATTTACTTATCATCATATAGAAATCATACACAAAATCATCAAAAATAAAATCTCACACAATCCTATATATTAGTATTTAACTAGTTCATCCATCACAAAATGTTTAATTAGTTAAACAAGAGGGGTGTTTGATTATCTTTTTTTTTTTTTTGTTTAATTTTATTCTACTAGTTAGATCAGATTTTTAGAAGTATGCAAATCTGATAGAAGTTGGTATAATCTTCTGGTTAAAATAATACCCATTCAGTATGATATATAAAAGATTGTAAAAGATTGTAAAAGATTGTTTCCTCTAATGTCGAGTAAAGTACATGTATGTATAGTTTGGGAATGTTTGGTTGGACGAATTGTATTTATCAGGATATATAAAAGATTGTAAAAGATTGTTTCCTCTAATGTCGAGTAAAGGACATGTATGTATAGTTTGGGAATGTTTGGTTGGACGAATTGTATTTATCAAAATTCAGGATATAGTTTTCCTTAACAAAATATGTTTGTGCACAGAACAGATTCATTATGCAAAAACGTTTACAACAACACTTTATATTTGGCAGAATTAAAAAGCTAGTATTATCAGTACATAACAACATATACAATAATAATATATCTGTTCTTGTAACAAATAACAACACTTTATATTTGGCAAAACAGAATGGTTGTTAATGCTCTTTAGAATTGTGCTTATCATCACTAGAGCCTACATTCCATCATCCGGAAAAATTACTCTCGTTTTGCATTAGAAAGGCCCAAATCTCATCAATATTCACTTCCCATGCTCACAGCTTTGAGACTGGTAAACCTGATATGAAAAAAAAAATGTTTCAAGGCTATAGAAAGGCCAAATTCTTTTAATAGTTTTCTTAAGTTAAACTATTGCCTGAGGTTTAAGGATTATAGAACCTACTTAAGACTTTGGCATTGACAATGCTAGGACAGGCAGCCGGAGGGGGAGCATTCTCATTGAGGAATGGCTCCACCTGGTTCGGGTTGGACCAGACCGGATATCCTTTAATCTTTCCCTGAAAATGTAAAACCAAAAACGTTTTAGTACATTTTCAAGAATTTGAATACAGAGATAACCACAAGACGAATAAAATTTTAGATTTTGATTGATCCTTTAGTTTAACATTTGCATACCAGAACATTCAGGGCAGCCAGTGTGGCCATTCCTTCACGAGTCCACTACATAACCAAACAACGAAAGAATATATCATTACAATGTTTTGCAATATGACAAATCTTGAATTTCAATTCAGTGTAATAATTCTAAGCAAAGTTAACCTTGGAAGCAGAAGCAATGTGAGGTACCACAATAGCATTCTTCTGGTCTGCAAGCCCGGGTTTCATGTAAGGTTCATCCTGATACAATCTCAAGGATTAGCTATTATTATTCTCATTTTTGGAATCTGAATTTGAACAGAAGCGGTTCTTGTTTTTTTTTTTTTTTACCTCAAAGACATCGAGGCCAACTCGGAACATCGGATTAGCTTTCAAATGCTCCACGAGAGCCACTTCGTCGACGACAGGTCCTCTACTGCAGTTTACAAGGATCGCTTCCTACAGATGAAACTTGAACAATTTTCAGCCAAGAACATATTGTTATATATAAGAGAAACATTCAAATTCTCACCTTCTTCATCATTGCAAGTCTTTCTTTGTTGACCAGATGATAAGTGGTTTTGTCCAGAATAGGATGAAGACTTATCTGGAAAGAACATCAGTGACACGAAATTTAATTCCTAACCAAGAATAATAAAGGAAAAATATGAGGTTTTAGGAAGAGAATGAGTAATCCTATTCGTACCACATCCGCTTCTCGGAGAACCTCATCCATGCTAGATGCTCTCTTCCAGGTCACAGGCTTTTCACCATTGGCTTTTAGGAACTCACCATAAGCTGCAATAGAAGAAGATACCAAGTATCAAAAACAATTTTTTCACTCCAACTTTTTCTTTTCTAATTTCATTTTTTTTTTTAAAATGAACTAAAACATGCATGCCTGTAACAAACTTCTCTAGCCGTGTGGCTTGGTATAGATCATAATAAATTAGGTTCATCTTGAAACCTTCAACCTGTTACAGATGAAACAATAGCATTAGAGAAAGTAGAATTTTATGGCACTTTGCTTGATATTTTGGACAGCTTAAAATCTAATTACGCTTCCAAATTTCTGCTCAATTTTCAAAATGCATCGAAACTCCATGCATGTTAGATACTAAACTATAAGTGATTGTGGCATTTTACAAGCGAAAGTACCATCATTCTGGCATATGCAGATCCAATACGACCGGCACCAATAACACCAACAGTCTGTCCTTTAAGCAAGTTTCCCACAAACCTGTCAAAAGTAGACAAATTCAAGCAATTGTTAAGGTAATAAACCATTTGAACTTCAGTTGAGTTTCACCAAAGATGCAGCAAAAACGCCCAAATAAGTTAATATCATGGCAGCCTCACAGATTGGGAAGCCATCCATCGTATAAGCCTCCTCTCATAAACTCATCTGCCTCCACTATTCTCCTCGCGGCCGCTAAAGAAAGGGAAGCCGCCAGTTCAGCCGTAGTTTCTGTAAGCACTCCCTGCACATTTGAGCGATGAATTTATATCAGTATTTGCCCTTCTTCTCGTGAGCTTCAAAGTTCAAATCAAACGTAAACGACCAATTGTAAGTTAGGAAGACATGAAGACAAAGCACACAAGAACTTTTGTTACTATTTAAGGTGTGTGAAAAATTGGTCATGGGAAAAGAAGCTAAAAAGGCTCAACTAACTTTTCCACATAGTACTAAAAAAAATAATAATCGAGTTATGCGGAGTCTAATTATATTGTATATTTTCTTTTGTCAATCGTTGTTTGAATTTTTTTTAGAGTATTTTGAGAGGTATAAGATTATTTAATACTCTTTTTATATAATAAAAAATCTACAAAGATAAAGTGTACGTAACTCTTACATTAAAAGTGAATCACTATGAGCCTTATGTGCTATTAGTTTTCCTTTTTTTATATTATTAATTGCTCTGGGAGAGTTGACTTACAGGAGTGTTTCCAACGGCAACGCCATACTTGTTAGCAGCATTGACATCAACATTGTTATAGCCAACAGCCATGTTGCTAAAAGCTTTCCCACCTGCTCTGCTAAGTGCCGAAAATAAAGTGTCTCCCCAATCTTCAGTCAACTGGTAAATAACCAAAATAAAATTCATTAAAACAAAATACAAAATAAACCATCGCATGCCATGATCATTCTAATATTAAGAATATATATATATATATAACAAATTTACCTGGCCAATAACTCCATCACACTTATCGCCTATAAGCGCAATGATATCTTCAACAGACAGAATTGTTTTCTTCTCAGTGCATATCTAATCACGAAAATAAATCAACAATTCCATTAACCAAAAAAGAAAAAAGAAAAAAAAGAAGAAGTAATCTTTTAAGTGAAAACGGAGAAGAAAATGAAGGTCGCGTATTACTTCAACTCGACAGCCTTGTTCAACTAAGAGATTGATCCAGCGAGTTCCGGGCATGGGTTTTGTGCTGATAACTCTGTATTTCCCATTTGGGTTCCACACTTCAATCGAAACTGGTTTCGCCATTGAAGCTCCTAACCAAAACTTGGTGGCTGAGAGAGTGCTATTGGGTGTTGAACGTGCCTATTGAACTAGCGGCTTTTGAAAATCGTGTGGGTTAAAATGTTGGTTAAAGGGTTAGATGGGGTGCACCATAAGAGTGTGGTCTTCAGCTTCGTGATTCGTCTAACGAGTTGACTTTTGACTTTTTGTTTCGTTGACCTGTTTTTAATTGGATGATTTGGGTTGATATTGTGCTCGGAGGGTCATTGGATTTGGACTAGTGCTGTTTCTGGAATGTAGATAGTGTCGAGTGTCTGTATTGAGAGGTGGAGATGAGTTGGAGACGAGTGCTTCATGTTTTTGAAGTTTTTTTGAACCTCACGTAGTGTATAAGGATAATGATGACGTGGCAGGTTATGTGGATGACACGAGACATGTGGGACCCACAAGAGACCGTTTTCAGTTGGGACAAAACAGAGGACCATGGTTTCTCCTATTCTTTATGTTTTCGATTCTTAAGTGAACCAAAAACTTTTTGAATGAATGCCAATTAGGCGATTAGATTAGCCATTTTTATATTGCGTTGCTTTTGAAATCTAGAACATTGAGTTGAAGTAATTGACGGCTCATTTTACACTGAAGCATATGGAAATTAATTTAAGTTTTGTCTTTAAATTATGGGATCATCTTACTTTACTATTGAATTTCAATTTCAAATGGTTGCGATATATAAACTTAAAAACTTTATCTAAATAGAATTCTATGGCAAATCTGGTCAGTATTCTTGATGAACGATGATGATCACTTCCATCAAAAATTGAGATGGTGAAGACATAAAAAAGAAGAAGAATGTACAAACCACGGTAATTTGCTAATTGTAAGAACTATATATGGAGATTAGAAATGGAAGTTCGGGTGGGAAAGAAATGAATCCCATGGTTCATGGGCACAAATAAAGTTAACCCTTGTCGTTGTCCATATTTTTCTTACATAAGCGCGAGTGTAATCTAATGGCCTGTTTAGTTCACTAATTTGAGTTTTTTATTTAAGTTGAGATGTGTATTTATGTGAGAACTTTTTACTGTAATAAAAAAGTTTCTGAGAGCTTTTTACTGTAGTAAAACTCGAATCAATAAAATGAACAGGGTCTAAGTCCACACAAAAACATAGAAATTAATGGCTTATCGAAGAATTCAACTCAATTACGAGAGCTAAACAAATAATACACTTGTATATTTTTGTGATGTTCACACACGTCTTATCCTTTTCAATAATTCATTTTTATAGTAATGAAATACTATTGCTTCTATTCCAAGTGATTAATTATTGATTACATAGAAATAATGGCTCATCCTATGTTTGGTAGAGTAAAAAACTATTTCTTTAATTTGTTTTGCTCCCTCTTTGCCTTCTATTTTCTCCTCCTTATTTTCCCGCCCTCTTATCAAAGTACCAAAGCCTAACCTGACCAGTAAGGAATGGTTTGGAAACTGGATTAGATTGGGCCTATCATTTGAACTGGGCCTGCGTTAGTTTACTTGGATCTGTTTCTCAGCCTTGAACTTTCGAAGAGGAAAACTGGATACCCGCTACTAGACAGAACATGAAGAAGAGAAGAGAAGAGAGGAGAGGAGGGAACCGAGTAAATCACAGACTTTACCCTCTAAAAGTGTAGTGTTCAAGATTTTTACCATTTATTTTTTATTAATATAGTTCTTTGATTAAAGATTGTTAATCAATAGTAGAGTTGTAAGTTTAGGTCGAACTAAATGGGCCGACTCGAGGTCCGTTACTGTTTGCTAGGGTCGGAAGCCGGATGGGCCGACCCTCTCTTCTTTAAGGTTGGGCCGGTCCGGCCCAAGCATCATATTTTTTAAGATTTATTAAAAATGCCTTATAAAATTCTAGACCGGTCCTAAATTTTTTGGGCTTAGGGTCGGGTTGGGTCGACTTTCTCTTTTTTAGGACCAAGTCAGGCCGACCCAAAATTTCCCTTTAGGCCACCGGGTCTGGGCTGGCCGGGTGGCCTAAACTTACCCCTCGAATCAAGAGTAAATGCTAAAAATTTAAATGCTTGTTTAGAAGGTATACTCAAACCAGATTCTGACATTTAAAATTTAAGTTTTTTTAGAGAAATGTACTGTAGCAAAATTAATTATTTGTGTTTGAATATATGAAACAAACGGTACACATTCTAAGGGATATTTGTTCCTTTTCTTAACGTGAACCAAAATGTCAAACTAGCCTATAAACTCTTGTGTAAAACCACCGGAATTAAAGGTGATCATCTAAGCTTTTTATTTTAAAAACTCTAAATTTTTTATCGTTTCTTTTACATTCCTTTTCAATTTGCTAAACGTATCCTAATTGTAGAGATTTTCGTGATCCTTGTTCCTTTTATCTTGTTATGGTATCTCCATGCTATCATTTATAAGTCTCTCTCTTATGCAACTTGTTATAATGAATAAATCTTCATGGTTTTCCTCCTATAATGTTAATTACATAATTTAATTTGCTTAAATCTCAACAGAGTCCGAAATTCTGAGTTAAAAACGGTGCACATTTCATACTTTATCACAAATTCTCCTTATTTATCACTCAAAGTTGTATTAAGTTATTTTCTTTTTAAACTCTACAATTGTTACAGTTGTGTTAAATTAATTTTTCAATAGTTTGATATATGAATAAGACCAGTTTTATTATACATGCTGTAAATTTTTAATGCGGACATAATTATGAAAAATTATTTAGAAAGAGAATAATTTGTACTGCGGATTTTTTTTTAGAATTTCTTTGTTATGACTATAAAAAATGAACTATTAATAGTTATTTACTTTTCAATCGTTAGATCTATATTAAAGACTGTTTGTTATGTAGATTTTTTTATTGTAATGTGATTTTAATTATATCTAACGGTGAAAATTAATCTTACTGATAGGTCGGTTTACTGTTTTTTTTTTTTCTTCTTTTTTCTTTTAAATAAGGTCGTAATAAGTTACCAAATTGTCGATTGGTGAAATGTGAATGCGCGTGGCGTGCGCATGCAAACGCAAGGAGTGTTCGTGTCGGGTGGAGGCATTGCGTGTGTGGCCATTTGTGTGTTAAGCTTTGATCCAAGCTGTGTTCTCCGACCAATAGTTGAAGCTCCCTTAGCATTTTTGTACACTACGGCTTATCTCTTGCAACTCTTAAGATGTCCACATAGGTCCAAATCTAAAATCTCTACCCCCTTTAATTGCTAATTTGCTATTTACGCACCTTCTTTTGTTACAATCAAGATCCCATTAAAGATTTGCTTCCAGGCTCCAACCACCCCATGAAAAGGCCATTATTATGTGGAAACTTTTTAAAAAAATAAAAAAAATAAAACTATACAATAGGTTAGAGAAACTTTTCTTTATTTCTTTATTTTATTTTATTTTATTTTTGTAATTCTCAAACTCAAAATGAGATCGTTCTCTTCTAACATATTAAAATAACAATTTTTTTGAGAAAATTTCATATTGGTATCATGTAATTTAATATAATTGTCTTTTAATATTCTGTGTTTTAAATAATTTTAAATTAGTATTTTGACGTTTTAAAAAATTATTTTTTAGTACCTTGAAGTCATTTTTTAAGATATAAAATGTCAAATTTATTATTTTCATTATTTTATAAAAAACTAATAATTTTAAAAAAAAATTCTGAAGAAAATTATTTTTAATTTAAAGCATTATTTTATTTTTAATTTTTAAATATTTAAAAAACATCAGATTTTTTCTAAATTTATTATTAGTTTTTTGGTTAATTAATTAGAATGGTAATTTTGACATTTTACATTTCAAAAAATGACTTTAAAATATTAAAAAATAATTTTTTAAAACATCGAGGTATCAATTTAAAATTATTAAAAATACAGAAATATTAAAAGATAATTATGCTAAAACACATAATATCAATATGAAATTTTCCCTTTTTTTGAAAAAAACAATTATTGGGTTTGAGTTGTAAAGGAGCCATTTGGGTCAAGGCAGCTGCCCCTAGGCCCAACACGCTCTGCCACTGGCCCACTGCATGTAATCTATTTCTATAATATTTAAGAAGATGTTTGATTGGATTCAAACTATAATTTGAATTATAATTTATGGTTCGTTATAGTATTTTTTTTCATAAAAAATACACGTAAATTAAAAATGGTTCTAATTCATGAACTAAACGTCTCCAATTTAATTATAAATTATGATTAATTAGTTGTATTCCATCTAAATGAACAAAGACTAACAAATAAGCAACCAGGATCCTTATTTTGTATGGGGAATTTAGAATCACTCCTCAAAATCATAAAATCGCATAGCCACCTTGGACTCACAAAGGCCTCCAAGTATTACTATCAAATTGAAAGCATTATTTGAGTAGCAAAAAAAAAAAATAAAAAAATAAAAATTTGAGAGCATTATTTAACATCAACATGACGATGAAAAGGCAACCATAGATAGTAACGTGGAGGCTACTATTGTTTTAAGTTGGCTATTGTTGTGGCCGTACTGAGGCCATAAGTTTGTTCTAGACTACGACAATCGACACTAAAATTCATTGTTTGACCATCATCGCATAGGCACTAATAAACTACATCAAGCCATTGATTATTAACTTTTTTTCTTCTAAAAAAAAAAAAGGAAGCTCCAAGACCAAACAAATTGCTTCCAAGTTTCACTTTCTTTTTCTCTTTTCCTTTTTGTACGTTACAATATTATTATTTTCTATCCTTATTAAACTTTTATTACTAAAGAGCAGGACATAATTTATGAAAATCCCACACATAATGAATTGAACCATTATTAACTCTCCAACATAAATAAGAATGGTTGCACAATAAAATATTGTAAGTAGAGGTCGTTGTCTTGCATAAATAAATATAGAGCTGAATTTTCCAACTTTTGGGGTGGTGGGTTGGGGAGTTCCAACTTCTACCAATTTAAGTTTTGGATAGTCTTAAGTTGGGAGTTCTATTGATTTCGGCAACTTCTTTGAATCAAAGTGAGTAACAAGAATTTAGTGGTCCCATATAATATAAAAAATGAGAACAAAGATTTTCTTAATAAGTTTATTTTCATTTAATTATTTTATCCTTTATAAATTATTACATAGTCAATAACTATTTAATTATATAAATAGACCTTTAGTGATTATATTAATAATATTACTATTTTAAATTTAATAAGCATTAGATGAATATTGAAATTATTTCTCATTACGTATGACTCGTTTACTTCGCGGATTCGAGTTTTTAATTCGAGCTGAGATGTGACATTTTTTGAGAATTTTTTACTGTAGCAAAAAAAGTTAGATGTGACATTTTCTGAGAACTTTTTACTGTAGAAACTTAAAACTAAAAACTCGAATCGGTACAAATTAAAAAGAGAATCAATGTCTTTATTCTTATTATTTTACTTTATTTTTTAATTTACTTTTTCTATTACACGTCTTTATGATTTAGTAAAGCAAAAAAATACAAAACTACCATTTTATAATAGTTATATTTCTATCATTCACCTTTTAATTATAACCGCTTTCTTATCAAAATTAATCAACTTAAATAAATTAAAAATAAAAAGGATAATACTGAACAAAAGAGCTATATTAGTCTCACATTAATTTATAAGGATGAATTATAAAAATCTTTATTTTTTTACTAGCTCAAAATAAGGCTCTATTTATTTCATAAATTTAAGTTTAAAATTCAAATTTTATTATAATAAAATTTTTTTAAAAATATTTATATTTAATTTTAAATTAACAGGAACTTTAAAACATTTCTCCACAAAAAAAAATCCCATTATTAGCATACCAAATATACGAAATAAATTACCTGCCCTTCCCATGTATAAAATAAATAAATAAATAAATAATTGCCTTAAAAATACAAAAAGAAAAAGGACAGACACAAAGAAAATGTTCAATTTTCTGTTGAACTTCTGAGCGACACTTTATCTTCAACAACCCCTCTTCCTTTCTCTCTTTCTCTCTCTCTCCTCTTCTCTCTCTCTCTGCAAAGTCTTTTACCTCTTACAGAGACGGAGACACACAGAAAGGGAAGGAAGCCATGGAAAGGCTTCTCTCCTCTTCATCTCCAACCCCTTCTTTGAAGTTCCATCTCAAGCCTTCGCCTTTCCTTCCTCGACTCGCCCGCTTCGACTCAGCCAAGCTCAATTTTCTGCCCTCCCTTCGCCCCGAGTTCAGGCGGGTCAACTCGCTCTCCTGCAAATATGAGAACTCATCTCAGCCTTCTTCTTCTTCTTTTCGGAGTTCTTTTTCGTCGTCATTACCAACGCCGTCGAACTCTTCGCCGACTCTGTATTCTTCCTCGGCTGCGTCTTCGTATGGATCGGCGCAAGAACCCCAGTCTCCCAAACAGATCTCAATTGGGGCTTCTGCGAAAAGCAAGGTGATTGTTTGCTCAATTTTTTGTTTTCTTCAAGAAAAATTCTGTTTTTGTCCAAATCTTGTGTGGTTTCTTGTTCCTGGTTTTCGTTATCTTGATGCAATTTCCATGGGAAAATGGGAGTTTCAGACAATTGGGTTTAGGTCTCAATAGATTGTTTGGTTGCTGAGAATTCGTGGAGAAAGAAACCGAAGAATTGATCTCATTTGAGTTTGTTATTTGGAACTTAAGCTCTATGTTGCCCTATTTAGCACAATGATTGAAAAAAAAAAAAAATGATCCCAATCTGGCCTTCGAATTTTGATTCATTTTGTAAATCTCTTGACGAGTTAGTTATAGGAAAATATAGAAACATAACATCGAGGAACTTTCTTGAAGTGTGTTTGACCACTTCACTTTTTAGTTGTTAATTGGTGAATATGTTTGTGAAAAATAAAAAATAAAAAATTAGATGTAATTTTACTTAATCGTGCTAACTGGATGATGAACCTTAATGCAAAACATATGCTTTCGAGTTGATAAGGTGACTAATCAAACGATGAAATTTTCATGACAAGGCGTTCACTTTCTGATGTTAGTATCAACTTTCAATATGATCATCATTATGGCTCCATATTAGTACTGAGGGCTAACAAGTTTCCATATTGCAAACATTTTCAGGCCATTACTGCTGGGAGATACATTATGCTTTCCGCTCTCGCTATGATCTTACTCCAACCAATCTTTGCACCGGCAGCTTTTGCAAGTTTTCAAACCACAGCGAAGACAGGTGCCCCTGCTGCTGCAGCGGCCGTTGGGGGAAGACTGCTCCGTACTGAACTACTAAGTAGCGCATGGACTGGTTTCTTTGCTGGTTGTTTACACACATTATCAGGGCCTGACCATCTTGCTGCTTTGGCTCCGCTCTCAATTGGACGTTCCCGCATGGAAAGTGCAGCTGTTGGAGCCCTTTGGGGATGTGGACACGATGCTGGTCAGGTTATATTCGGCTTAGTATTTCTTCTACTGAAGGATCGGCTTCACATTGAAGTTATCCGAACTTGGGGTACTAGAGTAGTTGGCCTTACACTTCTTGTTATTGGTGCTATGGGCATTAGGGAAGCTTCAGAAATCCCCACCCCGTGTGTTGCCTTGGAGAGCGGTGAGTGTGATGTTAGCGTTTATGAAACACTTGAGACCCCCACACTTGGGAAGAAGAAGAAGATTGGTTTTGCTACTTTTGCCACCGGAATCGTTCATGGGCTTCAACCTGATGCACTGATGATAATCTTGCCTGCTCTTGCTTTACCTTCTCGCTGGGCTGGTGCTGCATTTCTTTTTATGTTTCTAGTTGGGACTGTAATTGCAATGGGAAGCTACACGGTATTCATAGGCTCATGTAGTGAAGCATTAAAGGATAGGGTGCCTAGAATTACCGAGAAACTGACTTGGGCGTCTTCCCTTGTGGCAATTGCCCTCGGATCCGCCATCATCATCAGCCAGTTCCTTGGGTATAGCTTGTATTGATTTTTCTGACTTTGTTTCAAGATTCATATTTTGCAAAAGCTTCTACGGGAGAGTTAGAAAAAGTGTCTTAAAAGAGGACATTTCAAATTGTTTACAGCAAAAACTTCATCAGATGAACATGTTTTCTCTGTGAGAGAAATTCACGTTTGCTATCTTGTCTTGCCTTTAAGAGCGTACTAGTTGTAATATATAGAGAAAACCTTCTGCATCTGTAATTCTTTTATGGTTGAGACCGGATTGGCTTATCGCTTTTGCTTTACGTCATTTGTTTCTTTTAGTCTTGTATTGTTACGAATGGTGCAATTAACCTTTTACCCAAACAAAATTGTCTTATTTTGTTGCCCATGTTGTGGTTTGAACTTGTCTCTGGACGACCTTACAAGCATGAGTTTAAGCGAGTCATATTATGCAGTATCAATAATATGATATTCTACAGCAAGAAATTAAGCTAGAAAAAGAATGAGATTCTACAGCAAAGAATGAAAAATAAATAATAAATAACAAACACACTAACGACAGAACTCTGTTTTGAACTGCCGCATTTGAATTAAATTCTGTCAATTGTGAATATTTTGAAATCGTACCATAGAAAACTTGAAAAAACAAACACCTCCAATGTAACTCCTGTGTTCAAAGTTGACACGAATGTCAAATTTCATCTTCGCCAGTTTAGGCCACCATATTTTTCTGTGATTCTAGCCAATACATGATGCACAATCATGGCACTACAAATCATGGTATCAAGAGTACACGTCCTAGTAACAATCGTCGCCATAGCATGAAAGGTGTTTCACAAATTATAGAAATCAAGTTAAAAACAATGATGCAAAATCTTCTGATATATAAACATTTCACGTCATCAGCATACAAATCTCAATTAGGCAAATAGAAACGAGGCTATGTGGATGAACAATATACACTCCCAAAAACGGGGGAGAAAGGGAAATTGAAAATCCAACAAAGACTAAACATGTCATGGAAGTATTGATGAATTTTTTTTTCTCTGCAGTTATATCACTAAACGCAAACCCATCTACAATGTTAACATGAAAATTTGAGTGGGAACAAGCGAGCAACAGAGGATGAAATAATTAATGCCGCTCGGATTGGGCAACAAATCAGTAAGCGTTAGGGCCTCTGCTTTTTCTCGATGTCATAAAGCACACACACATCTGCCGCTGTCTTCAACTGAATGTCACAACATACCAATTAAGAAAAATTAGTTTATGTAAAATTCCAACATAACAAGCTATCCAAAGAATTCTGCAAAACTTGAGTCAACTGGTGAATAACATAGCATCTCTGACTTTTTATTACCAAATATTGGATCCATAATTCTAATGTGTTGCATACACTTCTATCCATCATTCTTATAACATCCTATGCATGACATGAACTCCCACTCTTAGATATTAGTTATTGCCATTCTAGAAAAAATAAGACTACGAGTAGTTACCTGAATAACATTTACAGCTTGCTTGACCGCCCATCCAAATAAACTTACGACAACTAGACCACCAAGTAGCACATTCTGTTTTGTCGAATTGACTAAAACCTGAAAAAGGAAGCCAGAAACCAAGTTGGTCATTTTTAAATCCTTGGAAAACTTTAGTCGAGAAAACATCAAGAAATTGAGAGAACTTACATCCATCAAATTCTCAGTTTGGTTCTTTGCAAGAAGGAAGAGCAATATATAGAGAACCTGTAAAGCCTAATCAGTCAGATTAAGGGAAACATTGCAGTTAAATAAAATTGCACTACTACAGCAATAGAATTACCTCACAAGCCACGCAACAGTAAGCCATAAACATCCGATTCCCATAATATAGCTTAAAAAGCCAACTAGTGCTGTCTTTTACATCTTTATGACTAACCTTGCCTGACAAGAAAGTACTGCAATTAGAAGTATTAGAAGGTCAGCCAAATAAAAATAAAGAACTCTCGTCAGGGACAAATTTGAACTCCAAAACAAGTGAAAAAATAATTAGTTACCTGTACATCTGTAACCAGTGGCTGGCAATATCTAACGCAAGCAGTGAGAGGAAAGCCAAGCCAGGCCTGCATTGAACAAACAAAAAAATCTTATAAGCTCATTTTATACCTAGAAAGCTTAAATATGAAGGGCATGGAGAGGTAAAATTACCGGTATACTTGGGAGAGGATTACCAATAGACAAGCAGTGCTAATCCTGAGATATAAGAACATAAAGCCACAACCTTAAGTTAAACGGACAAACGTTTGCAACACCAATAGCCAAATTATACGGTAGAGGGAAGAGACAGAGAGAGTTAATGGGATTATAGGATCACCTGTCTGTTATCATGTCCAGAACAGCTCCAAAGGTAGAAACTGAAACAGCAGAAAGAATAAAAATTAATGGTTTCGGCCATCATTTGTTTAACATCAATTACTGTTTGTTGCACACATAATAGATATAAAGCTATTTGGTCCATAAACTCCAAGTACAGATTGGTAAGTCGCATAATTATAGCTGTGAACACACTATCAAACTATACTATAACATAGTTTGATACCTTGATTAAATTTGCGAGCACACCAACCATCGATTCCATCACATACAAAGCTGAGAAAAGTAAATTCAATCATAAACTTCTTCCTATGCAGAGACGCTGAAGAACAAATATAAAACACCAAACTAAAAGCTCTGGAAGAATTAACTCGTACCTGAAGAAATAGAGAACCGAGAAAAGCCTTTTGTTGGAGAAGCATAGAGCAAAGGCAAAACAGTTAATAAGAACCCTCATGTACCCTGTCACCCCATTACTCGTAGAATTGGTCAATAAACTCACAGGAATAACAGCAAGGGTCTACCAGTTACATATCGCGGTTTCAATCAAGGGTCTTTTAGTTTACCAATCTCTTCTAAGGACTGAACTGAATTCTACAAACACGTTCAAGAATAAACTAGTACTTAGAAAGGTAAAAACTTGGGTGTGTTTCATTTCATGGTTGTCTGAAAAAATCACAAAAACTCGACTGTTTCAGAAACTATTTTCATCATAATTCCCAACAAACTAGTCGTTTAAGTAGCTCAGATTAGAGTCATGTGACCCTTACGTATATATTTCACAATCAAGCAAATGGATCCACTCAAAGCTAAAAGCTATTTTTCATTTATTTTCATGTTCATTTCTTTCCATATGATTCCTAAGCATCCAAATTTGGCATTGGTCTTAGTTACAAGTAATTTGCAATATGTACGTAGTATAGGATTAAAAAGGAATTGAAGTTCAATACCCACCAATGATATTTGGAATATAGAGGTACACAGATAGCTTTCTTGGTCTTGGCACTGATCTCCCCGCCATTGAAACTGCATGAAATACATTAAAATTACAAATTCAATTATGTTCTCCACACTCCATATATATTCATTCTTGCCATAACCCACAAAAACCCAAAAGAATTAAATCATAATTTTCATAATTTTCGAAATTGAAAATTCATTCTTTCCGGTTAGTAACGCGTTACACACTCATTTGAGATTAAAAAAAAAAAAAAAAAAAAAGACAGAGAGAGGCTGGGGAAGAGAAACATCGGACTGATTTCAAATCGGCCAACCAAAGCCAGATCTCAACCACGGTTGACGGGACCCGTGATTGCTGGTATGAGAGAGAAGCTAAACTGGAAATTGAAATTGAGAAAGAGAGAGTTAGAGAGAGAGAAACCTTTGCAGCGGAGAGAGAAGGTTCACTTGGACGACGAACAAGCGAGTGTCCTTCACAAAGATGTTATGTTCTTCTTGTGTCGTTTTGGTATGCCCATATTTCTACAGATTTGATTTTCATTTTAATTGGCACAAATAGTCCCTAACATATTTAATAGTTAACAATTTGATTCATATTTTTTTAATTTTAACAAAATTCTCCTTAAATTTTAAGCCCCGTTTATTTCACCGACTCGAATTTAGAATTTGAATTTTGTTACAATAAAAAGTTCTCAGAAATAATCACATCTAACTTTTTTACTACAGTAAAAAATTCTCACATAAAGTCACATCTCAACTCAAATTAAAAATTTAAATCAACAAACTAAACGGACCGTATAATTAACACTTTTTTGTCCGTCTCTATTAACCTCTCACATGACATATAATTAGTCTGAAAAGATTAAATTACCCTGATTTACTCTTCTTCTTTTAATCACAAAATAACAAACCAACTATCAGTTTTTTTTTAATCAAGATTAATAAGGAAAAAAAAAAGGCCTCCTTCACGTCTCACCCCCTCTCTAACCCATTTCACTCTAGATTTAATGCTCAAATCCACGATTCGATCCTTACATTTCTTTTCATTTGAGGTCAGGTTTTTCAGAAACCTTCAAACAGATCTATTTAGAATCTAAAGCAACACTTCAATCCCAAATCATCAAATCAACGAGAAGGGACAGTTATGGGGACGGCTGCGACGTGCTAATTCAATGTGGATCTTTCCCTTTTGCCCTCCTTTTTAATTGGAAAATAATAAAAAATAGACTAATATAAAAAGTTTAAGAAAGTATATAGGTCAATTTTTAATTATAAAAATTAATAGGTCATAATTTGTCAAGTTATGATTCATAATCAGATAAGTTATGAACAAACTTATCAAATTATGGTTCATAACCAGACAAGTTATGGATAAAAACCGTGAATTATGGATAAAAATCGTGAATTATGGATAATAACTTGTCAAGTTATAGTTCATAACCAGACAAGTTATGGACGAAAACAGTAATTTAACCTATTTATTAACTTATGTAAACTGTTGACCTATTAATTTTAATTTATCTCAAATCTTGACATATTTTTTTCTATCTCTCTTTTTAATTTTACTTTTTTGTTAAATTGTTCGGCCCTAAATTCAACCCAATTAATCCCACAATTCAGCCCCAATTTGACAAGTATACACTTCTACTATTATACCACTGCTAAGAATGTCACGTGAGGGTCAGGTGCTAGTTTCTGTGAGAAAATTGACAGAGAAAGGTGTTAATTGCACCTATATTAATAATTTAAAAGTTATTTTGTCAAAATTAAATTGTCACTTATTAAATAAGTCAAAACTATCTGCTAATTATTATAATTTTTTATTTTTGGTACGGGGAGATTTGAAGTTTTCAGAGCATCTAATCTAACAATAATTATAAATAAGAGACAATACAAAGAAGTAAAGAATTATTCTCAAGAAAATAAAAAAGAAGAAGGTAAAGGAAAGCAACGAATGGATTTGATTCCGGCCTTGTTCGTTAAACTCAGACAATGATACCCAAAAAAAAAAAAAAAAAAAAAAAAAAACCCCCATTGAGGAAATAAAAATTACACAAAGAACCCTTGTTTTATATCAATACAACAGTCACGCCTCTTTGATTGAACATAACTACAATTACATCCTCTTGACAGCCGAACCTAAAGAAAATTTTCGTCACAGATCCCTTTTATCACTTGAGTCCCCAAATTTCTAATTGTTAGGCAGCGCTAATTATTCATTGTCCTGATGTGTAATACTCTTGGGTTTTGTAATATTTCCTTTACTTTCTGTTATGCCACTTAGAGCATGGCTATAGGTTCAGTGATTTCTTTGTATTGTATATAAACACTGTACATGAGCTATTACAGATCGAGGCAATATACAATTATTCATATAATTTCTCCTTCAATTATTTCTCTGACTTGGTATCAGAGCCTCCATGGCTAAGGTTGGCGGAGCCTCCACTGAGAATCCTCTCAAACACCTCTTTCTAATGTTTCTACATCAAACCCAGCCCATCCTTCTTCTACACCAACTATACAAATAGTTAACCCAGCAAACCAAATCGGCTCAATTCAGCTAAGTGATGACAATTTTTTGCTATGGAATCAGCAGATCCTTGCTGGGATTAGAGGACTCAGACTTGAAGAATACCTTACAGGAACATCGGTGTGTCCAGCAGAGCTCAGACCAACAATTAAACAGATTGGGGAGGAGAATATAGACCTTTACAAAAAAAAAAATTCAACTACATAGTATAAATAATCGGTTGTCATGTCCTCGTACCTCAGAACAAAATGGAATTGTTAAGCGCAAACATAGGCATATAGTGCTGGTTCCCGATTCGAATTCGGGTGCGGAAGCGTGGGGATGAAAATAGCGGATCGTGTATAACAAAAATTTTCATAAAACTTTTGACATACTCTATAGATTATATTAATTTATGCACGAATAAATTAATCATATTAATTTACATGATTCAAGGATCAACCGAAAAAATACCTGGAAGCCGACTCGGATGATAACATGAATTTCTTTGACCACGAACAGTCCTTGCTCCAAGCTTTGTGTTTAGAATACCAAAGTCTTCCACGTCAATTCCTTGATTCCACGTAGACGTGTGTGTGGGCACACGTGAGACAAAACAGGTTTCTTAAACACTCAAATTTCCACAAACACCAACGCATGCACGATGTGGAATTTGTTGGAGAAAAATATTTTGCTCTCTTTTTCCTCTATGAGAATTTCGGCCACTACTCTAATTAGGGCTGAAAATATGTTTCAAAATTGTATTCACAATTTTCTATCTTTCTCATATTTAAAGAGTAGAAGTCAAACTTCAAAATAGAATCAAATCCTTATCTCCAATTTTAAATTTTGAACAAAAAATCCCTTCCCATTATCCACTTAATGGCCGGCCACCCTCCTAGGGTTTATCCTTATGTGTGGCGCCAATCTCAGATAGGGAAGGAAGAGATTTTATCCTTTATCCAGTAGTCCAATTTTAATTTAGATTCAAATTCGAATTTAAGTCAAACTTAAATTAATTTGAATTCTAAATTCAACAACTTATCAAATAAGTTTAAATGGATAAATCTAGATGTGTTCAAATTCAAATTTAAATAATCACATTATTCAAATAATAATTAATTCTCAATTAATTATTTTCGAGTATTTAATTTATAGAATTCCTTAATTCTAAAATTTCCCATTTTACCCTCTGTGTCTGGTAGAATTACTAGGACGACGCGAGGACTAATGGACCTATAATTTTGAGCTCCAATAAAATTAATAATTAATTAAACACTTTAATTAATTAATTAATTCTATTAATTCCAATAGTTACTCCACTATAAACTTGGAATTGAACTCTCGAAATTATAGACATTAATTACTTCTAAA